ATTTGAATATCGAAGGTTTGATGATTTGGATGAGCTACCGGTTGCCTCAATGGATGTACAAGATGAGGACGTATATATTCAGTCCATGAGTCCCCGAATTAAGTCCCTGTATACTATGATCTGTGCTGTTAAAGAATAAAATTGTAACTGTGAGTTCTTCTCTCCTTGCTGGAGATTGTTTGGTTAATTTCTAAATAGGAGGTGATTTGGAGAGGTAGAACGGCCGTCTGCACGCTCCATGAATTCTTTGAAATTATTTGCAGAAATAATATATATGGGGATTTTTGGACCATACATGATGCATATAACATGGTCAGATTGGCTGCTATCGATTAATGTTGTGGGTTTTTCATGGAAATACAACATATATAGCTAATTTGTCACGAACCAGACACTGAATAAATATGACGCCAATATTTGTTGTTATAGCCTATTTCATGTCAACCAAACTACACCTACATCTCTCGTGCATATGGAAGTTTAAGTAGTTTTAATAAAGAAAAGGGAAAATTGCTTCAAGCCCCAGTTTCATAATGCAAAGGTGGTTAAGCTCCAAGACTTAGTCAACATATGAAAAAACCCTTAAGTGAGTTTGAAATGCAAAAAACGCCCAATGCAAATAATCCATTGTACTCCTGACTACAACCACATCCCTCTTCTTTCTTATTTTAAGGGTTTTCTCTAAAACTCTTAGGGGTTACGTGCATGAAAATTTTGACACTATTCAGGGTGATTTTTTTCGCAATTTTTTGGGGGTTCAATTGTAGTTTTTGGAACTTTTCTGGGGATTCTGCAATTTTTAGGGGATTATTTGCACTTTTTGAAATTTCTACAAATTTTTTAGGGAGGTTATTTGCAATCTTTAAAACTTTTTAGAGTATTTTTTATAATTTTTAGGGAGTTTCTACAATTTCTAATACTTATTGGGGGTGATTTTCTACAAGTTTTTGAGATTATCTGCAATTTGTGAAACTTTTCAGGAGATTTTATGAAATTTGCAAGTGGTTATTTACGTTTTTATAACTTTTTAGGTTTTTTTATAATTTTTAGAGGATTATTTACAATTTTTAATTTTTAAGAAGTTAAAATTATTAGTTAGTTTTTAAACATATGAGTTGATAAATTTATTTATTAGTTGTTAAACTTATAAGTTTATCAAACTTATGACTTAGTTGTTAAACTTATGAATTAGTTGTTAATTTTCTAAGTTAGATGTTAACTTTTTTGACATTTAACTCAGAAATTTATTATCTATAACTAGAAGTTTCATAACTAATTCATAAGTTTAACAAGTAGCTAATAAGTTTAGCAACTAACTCATAAGTTTAACATATAGTTCAAAAGTTTACCATAAAACCAAAAAGTTTAACAACTAATTAATAAGCTTAACAACTAACTGATAAGTTTAACAATTAATTAATAAGTTTACACCCAACTCATAAGTTTAACAACTAACTATTAACTTTAATATAATCAAAATAATAGAAATTGTAAATAACCCCCAAAAATTTACGAGAAGACCCCCTAAAATGTTACAAAAATTGTAAACACCTTT